TAGGCACTTGAGCCCTGTGACTGGCGCCTTTGTTGCCCCTCAGCTCTGATGCTCTAGTTACTCTAAAGCAAGTAAAACACTACCTGAATGGGGCTCCTAAGATTTCCTCAACGGAGAAGTATATTAGAAATGAGAATGGAGAGGAAAGTAAAGTCTTTAAGCTATTTTAAATTACTGATACATTAAGGCTATTTTTGCTTTTACTAAGGAGACTATACGAGATCCATTAGATCCTTGCTCCTCATACGTTGGGAACCTGGCTCCCAGTTTTAAAATTTTGTGTACTGCATGTTACGGAAGCTTACTGGTTTAAGCATAGGCAAGCATGGGCATAGGATAAATGATGGCTGTATATGGGATGTGCTCAATAATAACTTAATATTGTTCTTCATTTTCAATAAATAGAGTAAATGGGCTTTGCCAAATGAAGAACAGTCCATTTAACTGTTTTGTTTTATAAGTATGTGCAAAGCCAGAATTTAAGACATAAACAAAGAATGCCAGTAACATTTCTGATGCGAAAGAGACCACAGGTATCTAGATAACAAACCATGACTGCAGATGTCTTTTAAGAAAAATCACTTTGCAATCCTCGAACTCGAGAACTATAAAACAAAGGAATCACAAGGCAATACTACTACTACTACTGCATCTACTAATAAATCTTATAAGCTAAGCCTTACAAGTGGGATCATTGTTCGGAGGATCTTGAGATGGCATTTTTTAGCTGTGTTTGCCTTCCTACGATAAGATGTAAAGTTCACTAGTGAAGCCCAGCGCTGTAAAATCGAACAAAGGAGATGAGATTCTAGAATGATTTTTTTATCTCTTACACACAGCCTTTTAAATTACTTCATACTCTTCTGTGCATCTTACAAGACAGCCCCAATGTGTTTAGAAGACTTACGTGAAAGAGGAGAAATAGATTCATGGATTCAGCAACGATGCTTAAATCTTTGTAAGCAGTTTTTCTGCAGCTTTAAATTTCCTACACAATCAAAATGCTCTTTCATTTTCAATGCTTTTGTAATGCCTACAGTGTACATGTGGAGAGGCTCAGAGATATAGGGACAGAGATATAATTGGAGAAAAACATTTAAAAATATGCACACCTTCATCACTTGTTGCCTGCTGTTTAACCAGAGTCATTGGAGATCGAGCTGGAGGTTTGCTTAGAGGATGACGCCAACTTTTTGATGTTTTCTTTCTTTCCGTGTCTGCTGACTAAAAGGAAGAAACCACACACAATTTAGTTAGAAAATGCGCAAGGAGTAATGTTTGTAAACAACAAAAAAAATCTTCTGTTAAGGGGCATGCAAAGTACTTCTCATCTCTAGTTCAAACATTTGTTTTTGAAATTAATTTTTAATAGATCTAGAGGATGGGAAAATGACTTGCTTTTCTCCATAAAATTATTTGGAAAACAAATCTTGGTACTAGAATAACAGCACATTAAAAACCATGCAATATATTTGTACTAACTTTTTACCCATTCAGTTTAGAGTATTAAAAGTTAAATTTGCATTATTTAAATTTGCAAAAATTTAAACTTATTTTTAAATGAAATAGAGCAAGAATATAGACTTATAAAAATTACTGAATAAAGATCAACTCTGACTAGAAATTAATATGCTATAACACATTACCTTATAGCAGAATGCAACTAATACACATTTCAAAACACTACGGGCATTTTTACATGTGTTGCAGCACCGGGCACTATGAAAAGTGCCCACTGCTGTGATGCTTGCAGTTGTGCAAGTGGCAAAATGCATGTCACCGCAAAGAAAATGGCAGCAGTGCACTTTTGAACTAAAACACCTTGGAAGTGCTTCAGTTCAGAAGTACACCACTGCCATTTTCTCCACACTGACGTACATTTAGTTGCTTATACAACTGCAAGGAGCGCAGTGCAGTGCACATCAGCTCCCATGTGGAGCAGACTCGATTCATCGAATC